CACTGCCACGGCCGTCGATATTATCCGTTGGCTTAGGCGTTTAGAGAAGCTTGTTGCTGTTTGATGGACTACCTGAAATGTTTCCTTGGCATCGACTCGGTGATCCGTATCGATTAAATTTGCGAGAATAGAACTCGAAACCGATCGGTCCTCACCTCTATCTAGTCAGGTAGGCATATGTTCACGCATCCTCTTTACAAGGCGTCTCATTATATAGCCGATGTATCCCGCTCCACAGGAGGAAATGTAGTCTGTTTTTACCTCCCAAACGTCCGAGGGGAGAGGTTGTGAAACACACGCGTAAATTCACCGCGGGAAATGTTCTCATGACAGTTGTAGTTAAGCGCCGTGTGATCAGTTCGCTCGCTGCGTACCCTGCAAAAAACAGTCTTATGAATATATTTTTCTTTTCTGCAGTCGCCACAGTGGGCTTTGCAATGCATTTCTTAATATTTCGGTAGATAAATCTGTCTGGTTATCTGTTCTCGCGACGTGTGTTCTGCAGTTGTTGGAGATCTGCTTTAATAGCGTCAGGTGAGGAGATGTGTCTCACACTAGCTGCCAATCCCTGGAATGGTTTTAATTTGATGTTGGGGGGACAAAACTGTGGAAATAAATGTACTGTCCCGTCCAAATTTTCTGTCAGACCACCCTGCGCTGAATAGACCCATCTTCCTGCCTGTGTAGAAGGACATCGAGAAACGGAATTTCGTTATCTGCCTCAGCTGGAGCAGTATTTAGAGAGGGATGCGCACTTTTCAACTTTTGGACAATGTCGTCGATATCGCGGGTACCATTCGTCAGACTGAAGAGATCGTCCACGTACCGACCGTAGAAGACAAGGCCATTAATGGTGCCTCGCAATATTGTCTTCTCAACGTTGCCCATGAAAACTTTTGCGAGGCACGTTCCAAGAGGTGAGTCCATTGCCACGTCATCTATTTGTCTGTATATTTGATTATTGCAAAGAAACTGGACATTTTGTGTGCAGCGCGTCAGTATTTCCTTTAGCGATTTTGCTGGCATGCCTATGGGATAGTTTGTATCATGAATAACATAACAAAGATAATTTATCGTTTCTGATGCAGGTACTTTGGTAAACAGCGATGATACATTCAGTGATAGCATCGTTCATCCGCCAACGCTGATAGTTTTGATGACATTAACAAACTCAAAGGAATACTTCAGACTTCGAGGACACAGATGATCTTTCAGTGTTGTCAGCCTATCCACTAACCATTTTGCAACAGTGTGGTAGTGCGAATTCCTCATATCCATGATTGGACGTAGGGGCAGCCCTTGCTTGTGGATTTTAGGAAGGCCATACAGTCTTCGAATTGTCGTGCCTACTGGCATCAGTCGTTCATACTCTTTATTAGATAAATGGCCTTCTTTGAGAATAATCATCAACTGTCTCCCGAAAGCCTCTGTGTGATCTTTATCATTCTTGGTTTACGAAAACTTGGAACGATCCGATAGTATTTCCTGTCATTTCGCCACATACACCGTCCCATCCATCAGTAGTACACCTGAACCCTTATCTGGTATGGTAAGCACAATGCCTTTGTTTTTGCGAAGTTCCCTAAGGCTGTCGATGTGAGTTCTTTTCAAGGGACCCTTGCTTAGCGGAGCCTTCCTTAGAAACTGTTGACAGCAGTTAACTAGAGTCTACTTAAGACAGTCAATTTCTTTTGGATCGCTAGGTTTTAGATCTGTAGTCTGACTAAAGAGACTCTTAAATTGGATTTCCAGCTCTAATTGTTTTGGCATGCTCCGAGCAATACAAGACTTAAGACCAAGAGCTAGTACATCTACGAGAGCTTTATCAAGACGTACTGAGAAACAGTTATGAACGTACCGTTCCGGATTGTTCGGGAAGCGGTCTGAGCTTTTACTAACTGGATGCTTCGTCGGAGCTCAGTCCACCTGGCCTCCATTATTTTAATTCTGTCTGCCTCTGCATAGTCTTTAAATGCCAGTTTCTCATGGTTTTCAAGGCAGTCAAGGGCCACTGCTCTCTGACACAAGTTCCAGTGGAGTTCTTTAATTCCGGCATTAACAGTCTCAATGTGGCTTTCTGCATGTCATATAAGTGTAGTTGGCGTTGCGGCAAGATGATTTCTCCTTTAAGGTTTTTTGAGTAGTATTTGAGATATTCATTCAATCCTGATAAGAACTTGCTCGTCACATGTGCCTCCGCAAGTCTAGTGTCAAACTTGAGGAATCCATTAAGTTCCTTTAACACCGAGGGATCTTTGGATTGTCTATGTTCTGCAAATGATGTTCGAGTTTGAATATGCGAGAATCAGTGGAACGGCGAATAATCTTAACGACGTAAAAGCCACTGTCAAAGCTGTCTATGTCACAATTATGCCCATCGTTCGTTTCAAAAAATATCAGGGGCATGCAGATATTTCGGACGATGGAAGTGCATACTGAATAATATTTTAGGTTTCAGATAAACTGAAGCTGACTTTCTCTATTAAATCCAATATATCCCATATCCGTCCATATTGACAAAATATCACTCATCTTTTATAAGGATGTTTATTGACATGCTCTGCTTCTGCACGATCCGCGCACTTGCCTTCGTGGTTTCAAAAAATACATCATGACCCAAAATATTTTTCCAGTCGTGCCAACCGAATTACGTATTCGACCGGGCAGCTAAAAAATCATGAATTGTTTTTATTAAGGTCAACTTCAAGTGTAAGACGGGAATTTGTTTTTCCACAATGACAAGATATTTCCTAAATGAATATTAATGGCATGTAAGTACTCGTCCAATAGGGGTGGCGCAGCATGTGACATATCTCACAAAATCTTATTCGAAATTCGAGCACGTGCTTCCGATTATAGGGAACGATTAACTTGACACGTCAAAAGTAGTGAAAGAAATCAGAATTCGCGAAACAAAATTTTGGAAACCCAATATATATGTTGACAAATAACAATTTTAAGGGAATTGAAGACTTAAAGATAATGGTGAGGTTAATAGTACTATGATATGAAAGACCATACATTTGGGAAAACCTAATGGCCTTCACAAGGCCTTATGCCTTGGTTTGCTGTTTGAAAATACCGTCCTTCGAAAACACTGATTTTGTCTATTTACAGCAGAAAGACATGGAGGAAATATATTAAAATACAATAGAAGGGCAGAATTTTACATGTAAAGGAGTACAATTAATAGGATAAATATAATTTTGCGTTTATTCACGCAGTTACATCAGTCAAAAGCAGCAACGCTGTCAGAAGTGACACTCTTTCCTATAAAATGCCTGCAACGAATAATACTTGCGTTCATCTGTTATGTACAAAAGGAAGCATTTATGCTTAACTGTACTGTAAACGCTGGGTTTATAGTCCTTTTACTGGAAGGTGCAAGCCAAATGAATGCTAGGACGTGGTTAGTTAGTAGTCCTGCATAAAAAAGCTCCGTGAGAACGAATTTCGCAATCCTAGCTCTATTTAAATAACAGGTTACATACGGATGAATTGGGTCAGCTTTTATTTATATTAAGCGTTTTTCGTCATGCGTCGGAAATGCAGGTTTGATGACAATATCAGCTGCTGCCTATGCAACGGTGTGCGTGATGTTTGTTAATTTCTTGCTCTTATCGACTTCTAGTTTTGCAGAAGATATCTGCCTTCGTTGAATATAATCAAAGGGATAAACCGGTACGAAATTGCAGACTCGACTAGAAGAGCACAAATCGGCTACTCGGAGGTTATACCCAAACTTTCAATTAGCAACACACGTCAGAGAAACGGGGCTTACTTTCAATCTCAAACTTGCTACAATCTTAGGCCGAGGTAAGGCTAACTCTCGAGGCGTGGTCCTCAGAAACTCACACCATCAACAGTTATCTGGCCCTTCCTGCAGCGAAGGAATGACGCCAACTCTTAAGTCGCGGCCCATTCGACTAGACCCGGCCACACATTCAAGTTCGATGAGGCCGAAATTCTCGCGAGAGGGGATAATCGTGTGAGCCGCGAGTTGCTTGACTCATGGTTCACGGGACCTCAAGCAATCAACAAGTGCAACGACATGCTCACTCCATACTGCGTACTGAGGCATAGGCTGGCCAAGATAATTGACCACTCGGAACGCGCGCAAGCCGGTGAGCCAGATGGCCGAGCAATCATCACGCCAGCATCCAGCACGGGTGATGACATTTCGGTAATTAACAATTTGCATGCCGGCCAGCAAGCAATTTGCGCACCAGCGGTCGACGATCCTTCGTGAAGGGGAGCGCGGTTAATTGCTATAGGTATGCGGTTGCATAGCGACTGCATCCTATAAATACTGCAGCTTCCTGTGCACGAGTCACCATTTTCTGCCACTGTCTCTGATGATAAATTCAAGTGAGAATCCAAAACGTCAGGCAAATAAAGACTTTGCTCCAGAATATCTTCTTCTTTTAATCAACTAGTTCCTGGAACTCGCATCCTCGCTTGTATTGGCAAAGAACTTGTTTTCGGCTGCATGCAGGATCTTTGCTCTTCAAAAATTGCTACTTAAGAAGCATGCAACCTTCTCATTTATTTTTGATGCCCTTGAAAGTTCAAGTATATTTTTTTGGAAAACATGCATAAAAATATTCATTCTTTTACTTATTCGATAGAAAATCACGTCTTCGTCCAATTTCATTCTCAAAAGAAGCGTATAATTTGGTTTTAAAAAAACTTCACAAAAATCCCAAGACCCTTAGTGGACGTCGTGAGCAGTAAATTTCATTTGTAGAAAAGCAGTCTACAAAGGCTGGGAAACCAGACGAAAACGACTTTTTTGCTGAAATTACGATGCTGTCAGAACACAGCTTGTTTCTTCTCATCAGACTTTTCTGCATTGTCTGCTGCGTAGCTGCAGCGTATGCAGGTGCGATAATTTCATAGTTGATGGACGTGTACACAATCATCTGACTGCGAATAGACACTTTTGACGAGACCTGACGAAAGGCTTCGACACGGTGAATCGTGAAGGATTGTGGAAGATAATGCAGAAATTCGGCTGCCCGGAGCGATTCACTCAAAAGGTGCGTCAGCTGCACGACGGTATGATGGCGCGAGTCACGAACAACGGAGCTGCCTCAGAGACATTCGCAGTGACCAGTGGAGTGAAGCAGGGCTGCGTACTGGCGCCTAACCTCTTCAGTCTTATATTCTCTGCCATGCTGATGGACGCCTACCGCGACGAACGCCCCGTGATCCGCATCGCCTACAGGATGGACGGTCACCTGCTGAATCAACGGCGGATGCACTTCCAATCACGCGTATCCACAACAACCGTTCACGAACTCCTCTTCGCCGACGACTGCGCCCTGAACACCACCTCAGAAGAGGAGATGCAACGGAGCATGGACCTGTTCTCCGCCGCCTGCGAGAACTTCGGTCTGGTCATTAACACGCAGAAGACGGTGGTGATGCACCAACCGCCACCCAACTCAGCCACAGCCCCCAACGCGTCGCCGCAAATCAGCGTGAATGGGACCCTACTGCAAGTGGTGGAGATCTTACCGTACCTGGGCAGTACTCTCTCCCGCACCACCAAGATTGATAACGAAGTCGCCAACAGGATCTCGAAAGCCAGTCAAGCCTTCGGTCGTCTCCAAAGCATAGTTTTGAATCGTCACGGTCTTCAGCTGAGCACGAAGCTGAAGATGTACAAGGCCGTTATCCTGCCGACGCTACAGTACGGAGCAGAGACCTGGACGGTGTACACGAGGCAGGCACGCCGTCTTAACCACTTCCACCTCAGTTGTCTTCGTCGCATCCTGCGGCTGAACTGGCAGGATCGCATCCCCGACACTGATGTGCTGGAACGAACGGGAATGCTCAGCATCTACTCCATGTTGAGACAAATGCAGCTGCGCTGGAGCGGCCACCTGGTGCACATGGACGACGAGCGGCTACCCAAACGACTCTTCTACGGAGACGTCGCGACGGGTTCCCATCGTCAAGGAGGCACAATTCGTCGATACAAGGATACCCTGAAGTCCTCCCTGAAGCTACTGCAAATCAACCCGACCAACTGGGAAGAGCTCGCCTGCGATCGTCCGGCATGGAGGAGAACAGTGAAGACGGGCGCTGCTATCCACAAAACCAACCGCATCGCCGCCGCCAAAGCGAAACGCGAAGACCGCAAATCACAACTTCGCCCAGTTCGCAACGCCGCCGCACAACCTCTCCCTACGTGTCCTCGATGCCACCGGACATTCTGGGCTCGAATCGGACTTGTTGGACATCTTCGGATTAACTGCGCCCCTCGAACTGCACCAACCATCGTCCCCCCGCCTGCCTCTTCTTCCTCCTCTCCGCCGCCAACTAACCCTGAGAATTCTTCTGACTTACCACTTCCATCATCCTCCTCTTTCTCCTCCTCCTCCTCCTCCTCCTACTCGCCCACTGCTCCAACGGCGGCCGCTCAGGCGACTGTCCCGCGCACAGCAACCGACACTACCACCACCTCCCCCGAATCCAGAAATGAGGATCAGGACTACACCTGCCCTCACTGCGACCGTATCTTCACCTCACACATCGGCCTGGTCAGTCACTTCCGAATCTATCGCACAGAGACTGGCGAACCAGTGCGTGAAGCACCAATTTACACCCATCGCGCTCGCCTCCACTGCCCACACTGCCCTCGAACCTTCACGCGTCGCATGGGCTTTTTCGGCCTCATGCGCATCCACGAGAGCGGACTTGACCGCACTCCCGACACATCCACCACATCCAACACATCCACCGTGCACACCCACTTCCTCGTTTCATCCGTCCGCGCCACCACCACAACCACCACCGCCTCCTCTGTAGCTGACACTGACACCGCTGACTTCTCATGTCCACACTGTCCACGCACATTCACCGCACGCATCGGCCTGGTCGGTCACTTTCGAATCCATCGCACAGAGACTGGCGAACCAGTGCTTGGAGCACTCACCTATACCCACCAAGCTCGTCTCAACTGCCCACACTGTCCTCGCACTTTCAGGCATCGCACGGGCCGATTCGGCCACATGCGCATCCAAGACGATCTGCGGTAGACAACCGCCAGCCACACCACACATTCACTCACTCCCTACCTCCTCCACCACCACCATCACCCCACCAGAAATCAACACTCACACACCTCATGCACCCAAATGCCAGCTCCCACCGAAGTGGGAAGTCCACATCTCGACTCGGTCCCCATGCGGCTTCGGCTGCACGGGAGACTTGAGTCCGTGACTATCCCGAAATGTCAAGCGTCGTAGATAGGAAGGTTGCTGATTGACGCCCGCTCTCGATTCACGCAGTTCGTTGCGTTAGGTGTGTGTTGTGTGGAGTGGCGGACAGGTGGGCTGAGAACGGGCTGAGACAGCACCTTCCACGGCACCCTCACGCAAGTGAGTGACACGCCGTTCAACCCCCGTTGTGTGAAATCCTGGTGTTTGTGTGTATGGGGGGCCAGGTCGTGCTGTGGCGCGCGCAGGAATGGTCAGTGGACCGTGCCAGCCACCGCGCCCATTTCCCACTCCAGTCTTCTGACCGGCTCGGACAGTGGCTGGCGTGTGGGGATGGGAAGGGAGAGTGAGGTCGACGACTCAGCGCACTTTCTCCTCACTATAAACAGTCTGACGCGCTTGAAGCTATCACAGTGCGATAAAAGCCGTGGCTTGGATGGTTGCCAACTGACGGGGTAACTTGGACCTCCACCTTAACTGGTGGTGGTCTGAGAGTCAGGGTGCAATGGCTCCTTCTTAATGTGGCTTTATGGCACTCCCACCACAGTGTGGGATCCGAGCCAAGCGATGGCGGCACGTCTAGGTACGGCTTCGGTCGTACCAGTCTCTAAATCTCCGTTGTGTTTGTCAAAATCCTGGTTGTTTGTTGTGTGGATCAGGGGGTGTGGTGGAACGCCAAGGTGAGGATCCGTCCGAGCCATCCACCTGCGGCCTCCCTCGTCTCCGGTTTTCTTGACTCTGTCTTGACACCGGGCTCGGGCGAGAGAGGAGGAGAGGGTGTAGGTAGATGCTACGCAAGTCTATCGGCACTATAAACCCTTGCGTAGGTCACCGTCCCTGCTCCCATTGCTGCTGCAACTGTGGGGCACACGGTGGACATCATAGAAACCGATGGTCGAACTGTCATCTCGCAGTCAAAACTGCCATCATTGTCGCCATGTTTACTGAGCATACCTACAATATGCCGCAACCCCGGATATTTGCGGAATAATTTACTTCTGTCTAGAAGACCATCTTTTTCAGTCGATGCTGCTGGGCTGTAGGATTTTAACTTACATCTTATCGAGCGGGAGTTCGTACTTTGAAACAAGGTGTTTTTGCGTAGTGTGGTTCAACAGAGGAAGAGGCCTCATATCAAGAGCTGCAATAAGTGGGCTAACTCATGATATGTCAACCAAGACTCAAAAATGTGATTACGTTTCGAAAATATCAATTACGTAGTGCTATAAAACCCAAAATCCTTTAAAATGTCTGTATTATAATTCGATCACCACAGACTGTCTGCTTTTGAAATGACTTTTTGGCTGAATACAAAGGCCACACCTAGGAAAAATGAGTACTTATGTAACATCCATTTGCCTCATTGATGTTTGATGTCATTGAAAATATGATTATATCTAAGTGCCAGCATACATAAAAATTTTCATTCGTTTTCCATTATGATAGAAACCCAGAGATTACTTCAGATTTATGCCCAAATGTGGGATGTAAGTTGAATTTGAAAAACGTCTTTAATTGTGAGATTTTTAATAATGGGGATTGACCGTTCACAATATGCCATATCGCTTAATTTTATAATGTTGCTTGCAAAGTTAACAATATAGCTTAAAGGGATTGCTAAATTTTATGAACTCCTTTATAGTTCTATCTCTTCTACTATATAGAGATGTGCGTTTTCCGTCCGCTGAATATAAACAGCTTTTAGTTCCAAACCCCTGAATGCAATTGTAACTCAGGTAGAATTCTGAATTATTTGGGAATAAGAAAGCTTTTGCAAACCAAATTATACACTTCCCTTTAGTAATAACTTAAAAGAAGCCGCTCATTACTGCCAAATGAGTAAGAGGATAAATATGTTTATGATTATGAAATAAAATAGCATTTTTAAAGGCATCGGAAATCAGTGAAACATTGCATTCTAGCTAAGTGGTCATCTTGGCAGATTGTTGTGTTTGCATGCAACCGGAGAGAAGTTCATTCGAAAGCCCTCATCCTGAGGTAAACGAATAAGTATAGAACTGCGTTGTAAGATGCCTTGTTTTAAAACCCTGTTTAATTAATATTTTCAAACAAAAACGCATTACGGAGTTTCGATTGGAATTTCATGAGTTATCTCCCCCACTGTATGTGGGTTGACTGACTACCCAAAGGCGGCTCTTGTTTTGCGATTTTTTAACGCACCAATAGTCCCTTTTTCTGTTTAAAATACTCCTTAATTAAAATTTACTGAATTAAACGAGGTCTGTGATTATGCGTCTCTGCATAAGTTCACTAAGTGTTACAGGACTAAAAAGTGATAACACTGCGCTTTGTACACATTCAAATACGTCATATCGATTTGACTACAGTATTTATCTAGTAGTGCACTTTTTTAATACAGTTTCATTTGCATGTGCGTCTTGAAAATGGACTTGATGAAATTCGCGGGCTTTGAAAATCTGGCAAAATAATGTGCGTGTATGTCGTGACAATCAAGTAGTAGCTGGAGATTAACTCATTTTTAATGCAAAAGGACACATCCTAGACTTAACTCCCATGTTCAAATTAATTCATGTCCATTCCAGCGGCTTTATCTAGTGCTCTGTGATGTACGAACGCGATACTTTAAATTACTTAATATTCTTGAATTAGTCGCTTGCAATGTAAATTTGCCCTTGAATGCAATTCTACGCGGTAGTTTTCGGAAAATCATGGGCGCATAGTAAATGCTCTTAAAAGGTCCCCTCGTTCACACAAGTGGTTCACGAATTTCGACATTAGCAGCCTATAATGATTTAAATTTACTGGACATCATTGATCGACTTAAGGTCATCCATCAATATTTTTTCCTGACGAAATCCCAAAAAATAATGCGGCCGAATGTATGATTGACTTGCAATCATCTATTTTAGCATAAAACTGACATTTTTAAGTAAAAGCACTTTAATAGAAATGCGTTTTCTTACGTGTGCCACCGTAACGAGAAGATTAGCAGCGATCGCATCGTTTCAAATTAAATTAACTGACCAACTAATTGTTGCAGTGGGTTTCGTCTATGACAATATAGGTAGATGAGTAGGGCAATGATTTGCACTTTTTCTGCATTGACGCAGACATTGAAGGAACCCGTATACATTCGTACATCAGGAATTAAACAAAAAACTGCAAACGTCGCTGTAAGCAAACTGCAATATGGTGTGACTTTGATAATTCATTTTCTTGGCATTTGCGCAGAAGTCAATTGCAACTATTTCTAGCACTCTCTCATAGACCTAACGGAAACGTATGCAGCGATACCCCTAAAGTGTGAATTAAAGTTTGCGAAAGAGAATTATGTTTGGCAGTATATATTAAGTGCGGTGTGAGCAGTAATTGCTTTACAATATATTGCAAGGGTATTTAATGTTTACATGGACCATATTCGATTTGTACTCGGACGTTTAATTTTTCCTGCGAACCTGTTATGCGAAATGCCAAAATCTAAGATAAAAAATGCGGCAGTTTGTTCATAAAAATAGCTAAGATGTTTAACATTCCCTCCAAGAGAAATCTTGGTACGAATATTATAAACTCCTCCCGAATGCGTATTTAAGTTTTGACGGAGGTATATTCTGAAATATACAAGGCATAAATTCTGTCCAAAACAATTACCGAATGAAAGGACGCAGAGAGTATGAGGGATTCCTGCACAGCCGAAATCCCGCCGAAACATATATTTATACGATCGAATTATCCTCCTGTTGCCGTAATCATTGCCTTGTGCTTAACTTGAAAATAAATTGTTGAGAAAAAACGGAATGATTTCTAGAATACGAAATATTAACAAAAATTCCGAATGGTCCCTTAAATAAATGAGAAGAATTTTTATCGGATTATAATACCGACAGCGGTCTGAGGAGGGGGATGGATGAGAGGGTGGCGTAGGTATGACAGAAGGCTTGAAGAAGGAGATGAGATCGCTTCTTCAAGATTACTTCCTGGGACTCGTCTCTTCGCTTCGATCGGCAATGTTATGAGTCTTCTATCATTTAAGTTTGAAATATTTTTGAAATTAACCTTAAGCGAAAAAAAAATTCATTTTAAAAATATTTGGCAGACAACTGCATCCCATAGACATATTACTTATAAATATTGTCTTTCGATTTTAAGCAAAGGCTCCGCAGTCAACCTTGCACACAACCTGCGGTAGTGCTTGCTTAAGTCTTCCGTAATTTTTGATGTATATCTCCTATGCATTGGAAAACGCATCGGTGTACTCCGTTAAGACGTTATTATATAGCGCGCATGTTTTTTGCGCTTTTGGCGGACTGTGTTCTACCCATCATCAGATGCCTCAGTAAATTAACAGGAACGGTGGCGCATGGATGCACACTTCGCGGCCTCAGAAAATGTCACGGTCACAATCCAACTCAAATATACAGTAGATGGCATAACTTCCGATTATGTTGCAAAAATCGACGAAACGGATTGTATATGTATGCGCACAATTTCAGTGCCAAAGACACTTCATAGATTTTATTAGCATTTCATGAGATAGGACACTAGCGCTAGGGTATAGGGGCCAAACTGTAATTTTCGAAAAATCTTTTGTGTATTTTGCTATTTATAGCGCTCATTTGTTGCTATTGTGCAGCATAAAATATGATTCTCGGCCGAAATTTATTTATTCTCTGTGTCTTTTTGCAGTCTGTCTGTTCTTCGTAAATTTCTCTCTACTAAAATTCGCTGTATGGTATGGCCTACAGGTCACCGTAAAAGTGCCAATAAGAATTATCTGTCGAACTATCATCTGGACATAGTCTCATCCTTAACGATAATCTCAAACCGCTCGATATACATCA